TTTATTTATTTATTTGACAGAGACACAGCGAGAGAGGGAACACAAGCAGGGGGAGTGGGAGAGGGAGAAGCAGGCCTCCCGCCGAGCAGGGAGCCTGATGCGGGACTCGATCCTGGGACTCCAGGATCATGACCTGAGCCGAAGGCAGATGCTTAACGACTGAGCCACCCAGGCGCCCCCCTTCCTTTTTTTAAGAAAGAACCTCCATATTGTTATAACGTTTTAAGAGAATCTTTCGGACACTTCCTCCCAGCCTCACATCTAGCATTATCTTAACCTGTTAAAGTAATTTTGCATATTTCAATAAATTGCATTAAAATGAATTCTGATGGTTGGTTTGATAAGTGTACCTGTGACTTACAGAATCACTAACTCTTAATTTGATGTCAAAATCCTAAATTGTCTCCAAATTGATCAGTATTCAAATAACCCAAATATTTACTTGCATTTAAATGTTATTCCAAATAGTGACATGATTTAATGTTAGTCATGCTACAGAAAGGGGATTTTTTTGGTCCATTATGTTGAAAGAAATTTTTTAGAAATGTGAAGAGAGAATGGGATCCATTTTAACATGTTTTTGAGTAATAAACAACCTGTCACCCCTGTGCATTTTTCATTTCTGAATTTTCTGGATGTATGTTAAAGTTCACACATGATGTTCCCTGATGCATCGATAACAGCCCTATACTTGAACAGTGTTGGTGGTATAGTGTATTGGCTAATCACATATAACATTATGTAGCTTGTTATACAGATACTGTTTGCCATGTGTAAAGTAATACACAATGTTCTATGGATTAACATCTTACCAGGAAGTGAAGGATGGAGAGAAATGACAGGGGCAAAGAAGACTGGTGGTAACTTTTCTGAGGGAACTGTGTCATGCATCTGCCTTTTTCTGCGTATGTCCACGGTATAATAGTTTTAGATATGGAAAGTAAGTAAAGAATTATTGAATTTTATAGATAAGAGCAGTGTTTCTTAAATGGGCAGTCTTTGGAGCACTTGCTTCAGAATCATCTAGAAGCTTGTTAATGTGTAAATTCCTGGTGATGCACCTGTTTCCTTAGTAGACTTATAAACAAGGCTCCAAGCCTTTCCACTTGCTCAGAAACATGGTTTGTAATATTCCCTTAATATACTTTTGAGTGTTTAATATGTGTATAGAGGAAACATTCTCAGCCAATTTTGTGCTGGATTTTGAGAGGAGAATTAAATTTTACTTTGCTATCAATTCAGCCTCCAGTAGGTCCCTCTCTAGATCTTAGCTGCATCTACTTGTTCCTCAGTAGCTCTTCCTGGACCTCCTTCCCCATGGACTGGAGATGCCCTGGGGGTGGGGCAGAGGACAGGCAGATCCCCTCCAGCCTACCTGTCACAAGAAGCTCAGCAGTACTAGTCGCTTGTCCAGATCCATTGGTGGCTCTCAGGGAGTATCGTCCACTGTTGGCTTTAGTCACGGCGGGGATCGTCAGTCTAGCGCGGCCATCGCTAAAGGAGATCTGCACGCCGGGTAGAGTGGAAGTGGAAATTGCCTGGCCATCCCTAAACCAGCTCACCTCAGGAACTGGGAAACCTGGAGCACAAACACAATTCATCTTTATGTTGGAATGGGGCCCTGCAACGTCCTCTGCTCCGTCCCGCCATGTTCACTGCCTTGTCCTAACCCCAGGGTCCGCTTGCAGATAATTAGGGAGGTCCGTGGGTTCGTATAGAGGTCAACACCTTCATTTAATAGGAAAGGAAAGAGGCCAAAAGAGGCTCAGTGTTTTTTCCCAAGGTCCCTCAGCTAGAGGTGCACACAGAAGACTAGAATTTCTATCTCTTGCCCTCCTGTCCCGGGTTCTCCCAGATACAATTTAATAGACATCATTAAAATCATGAAGGGGATTTATAAAAGCATAAAGCCAAGGAAACTTTGAAATAAAAAGTGACTGTTGTCCTCTTCAGAAACAAGTAAAGAACAAAAGCAGCAAAGGATCTAAAAGGGCTGCCTAGCAAGCCCAAGAAGACAAACCCATCTGTGTCCCTCCTCTGTGGTTGCAAGGACACTGTCTCCTTGAACTCTCCTGCCTTTCAAATGTGTAATCAGTAAAACAAAGTGTAGAGAGAGAAGTGGGTTCTCGTAGAAGAAGACACAAAGCCAAACCTAGTCTTACAGAACAACATGGACTCCTGGAGTTGCAGGTAGAAAAGCTGAATGCTCTTCAGTCGCCATAAATTGTGGAGCTAAGAACTACATGTACGTGGTTTGATAATTTAAGTATATTCAAATTCTGTACATTGAGAAGGCATGAAGCAAATTCAGAGCAGGGTTTATTTTATATTAAAATGGAGGAAGTGAAGAGAACCAAGAGAACATTTATCTTCTTGTCCTTATATTAACCAATCTCCCACCACGACCAAGTGAGTAGTTTATTTGACTAATTCATGAATGTCAAATATTTTCAGTGGTGTTTTCTTAATAATTTATTAGCACATAGTGTGACAGAACAAGAAGCTATGAAGAAGCAAGCTTGCACTACTCCACAAATGGGCAAAATTCCCACTGAAGCCAATTGTGTTCTGCACAATTCAAAAGTTACTGAGCTTTACAAGATATATAATCGTATTATTGGAAAATCAGAGTATATCATGTGTGAGAAGAATGGAATTGGTCTCTATATGTATATACAATCAGTAATGAAGACTGATTACGTGATCTTTGTGCAATGTAAACGTCTTAACCAATTAGGAATAAGACTGGCACATAAAATAGAAAATGAAAGGAGAAAGGAAGAGATCTTATTTTATATCTTTATTAGAAGTCAAAAAATTAAAAAAAAAAAAAAAAGGGACAGTAGACCATGGAGGTGTAAACTTGATTTTCAATTAACCCATGCCATTTTATATGACCAGTTAGGATACTACAGAGACAATACTGATTAAATAATTTTCAAGATTATTTATAATATAGTTTGTAGATGATCCCCATTTTTTCCAGAAGATGGTAAGTCCTAGAAATCATGCATTTTTTGGAACTCTAAACTGAGTTATGAAGAAGAAAAAGAAGGGGAAAAACCCTAACTTTGTTTTAAATAAAATTCAGAGGTCAATCTTTGTTTCTCTTTGGTGGCATATATTATTTTTTGTTGTCATTTCCAAAGATTGGCAAATCTTAATTCACTAGAATCACTTAATAAAGATTGAAAATACAAGAATAAGATCATTAGGAGTTAGCTCAACACTGAAAGTTTTCTGCTTCTTAGACTAGTCCACGGTATTGTTATTTCCCACTCTCGGGCACCTGGAGTGGGCCCCAGCCTCCTTGCCCCGCAGCTCCACGGCCCGCCCCTACTGGGCTTCGGTTCCTGGCTTCCAGTCTGGCTCTGCAGCTGAACCCAAATATAGAATGACCAAATTTGGTCGTACTTAGCTGCTGGATTCTGACAGCAATTTTAATCCAATGCTAATTATTTGCTTCGTGGAATTATAAATATGAATAAAACATTTCCAAGCCATTATATTGTCAGATTTTGTCAGTACTCTGTGAACGGTATACCCTTATGATGGCCCTTCCATCCAGCTGGACCAATTTTACAAAGTGAGAGCCGGGCTTAAGCTTGCTGTCGAGTCCTACAGCTGAGTTCACAGACGGGGACGGGGAGGAGGCGAGGCGCGGGCAAGTGCGCACGCGTGAGCTTACCACTAATGTGAGCCTCAAAGGTTGCGGTACTACCCTCCAGTACCACAACACTTTGTAACGGCTGCGTAAACGTCGGTGCTTGAGTTGTCATCTTTTCAGGCACTCTGAAAAGGAAGAGAAAAGAAGTTAGAAGGTCCCAGCCAAGGGCCACTCGAGCTACTCTGGAGATGGCGGAGACACACATTTTCCAAACAGATTGCTCCTGAGATCATCTGTGGGCCCTAGAGGGATGGGTCTGGCTTCTCCTTCGTGGTTTCAATTTGAACACAGGACTCTGCATTGATTTGGAGCCTAATAGAGTAGCAAGTCTAAAGAGAAATGGAAAAAAAAAAAAAAAAAAGGAAAGCAGAGCAAGGAATGCCCTCTAGTGGTCAAAGAGGGAAATTCCGTCTTACCGAGGATGGGACACCTAAGTGAGAGATGGAAAGAGGAAAACTGGAATAAGTGGGAGTAGAGAAGCACCATAAAAGAAGTGTGGAAAGAACAGAATGGATCTGTGCATCGGTTCAATGGCTGAGAGATAATTGTTAAAAAAATTTCCTTCCTCCCAGTATTTTTCATTCCCTCACTCTATATTTTTAAGGTTGGCGTAGATTTGGGTCTTACTAGTATTGCTTTAAGTAATCCAGGCGGCTACTTAAAATAGTCACCAAAACTAAAAATTTGAGCTTTTCAATTTCTTTCCTTACTTGGAAAGTTCTGGCAAGTCTTACTGACTATGCAAGCCTTTCATAGACAGCTTACAGTGCTTTCTATTTCTAATATTTCTTCATATTGTAACTGCTCAATAAATGGTGCTGTTGAAGTCAGTAGTCAGGAAAATTTAAACTTACATGAATTGGCCAACTTTTGTTACAGAGCTGAAAGAAAACTACTGACTTGAGTACTTAGTAAGGAACAAGGTCCAAATCTGACAGAGAGAACACTGCTGTAAAATGTAAAAAAGTTAAAAGCCTCGTGCTTTCTCAATGCAAATATTCCAAATCAAAGAAAGGAATGTGAAATTTGCACTTAAGTCCTTTTAAGTGGAAGAAAGTCCTTTGTCCGTCAGTTCCAGAGAGATGATGTGAAGAATTTTCTGATGCACAAACACATTATTCAACTCAACTACTCCACTATTCTGATATAAAAAGCAGATTCCCAATTGTCAGATACTTCATTACTGCTTTTCACAAAATTCTCTGTTCACTAAAAATTTATGGAATGGTAATTTTTCTAGTAATAATTCTGTGCCTTACTGTAACTTTTTACTTCGTTAAAAAGAAAATGAAACCAGGATTCCAAGACAATAAAATGTATATTTGGAAAGTTCAAATAATATCCAAAAGTTTTTGTGAATCTTTTGTCAAGAACTCCATATAGCATATTACATGTAAGACAAATAACCTCACTTTTCCTGTTTACAACCTAGTGCATCTTCTAAAAATAGCTATATTCTTTTACACCATTTAGGTATTATATACCAATGCATTTATAGGCATTTATGATGAGTAATCTAAATCCAGGAAGATGGGAAGTCAAAGGGCATTTAGATATTAAAAGTCTCTAAAATATTATTTCTTGCCCTTAACACCAACATTTAGCTCATATCATATCATTTGATTATGAATTAAAATACATGAGATACTGGGTATTTTATAAAACAATTATAATGTAGCTTTTTCCCCAAATTTCTAAATATGTCACAATTAACTTGTCTAAATTGGTCATTTATTCCTAGTGGATAGGTCCATTTTGTTGCTTTAGCACTTGCTCTTGAACGGCCTTTGTGTAATTAGGCTGAAGGTATGCATCTAAAATGTCATGCTCCCAAAATAAACTCTCCACTGTTGACTGACAGCGGGCAAGTGTTCTGTCACTGTCCCGCAACTGATCCCTCAGCAGTCGATTCCCTTAAAAAGTCATCAGGGTGTAGCTGATACCACATGCATTTTATCAGAGCTATTCTTGGTGCGTCTCACTTTTTCACTGAGTAACATAACCTTGAACATTCTCAGCAGACAAAAAGAGTCTAGGACAGAAGCAAACATTTCTATCACCATTTCCAACCTCGGCTTCAACACTTTTAAGACCATGGGGTGGGTTCACACAATTGGAATCACTGCCTGGACTGATTCGCCAAAGCACTGAACTTTTTAAAGAAAACTGAACGAGCAGATTTAAATAATGGATCGGTAACAACAACGAGTAGTTAGACAAACACCCCTACATAGGCTCGTCGCCTACGCCGGAATACAAAGTTCTAACTGGGAACTAGAAATCAATAAGGAAGGGACTGTACTGTTAAAAAAAAAAAAAGTAAAGATGCCGCTCACCTGATTTCTCAAGAGTGCCCAAAAAGGGTGGGACGAAGCCCCAGGTTGCTTCCGAAACGACGTCCTATCTGGAGCTGGTTTTTTCGACCATCTCCGACATGAATCGGTGAGCCTCTAAACTTAAAAACAAAACTACACAGTCCGAGACTGTGTAGTTTTGCTTTTCTATGCAATCCCTACACCCGAGGCGAGGCTGGGAATGCACGACTGCTCAAGAGCCAGGGCTGGGCTCTGCCTTTTTATGTGCCCGATCTGCTGACAGCCCCACATCCCCGGCTGATTGGCTGCCTCAGGAAAGCATGATGGGAGACGGATCTATCTGGTGGTGTCACACACCACCTGTTCTTCTCATTGGCAGTGCTAAATTTAGCACCTCGAAAGAGGCTTTACCAAGGAAATAGAACTGTCTTTAAAGAGTAACTGTATGGAGGCTCAGAGAAGAGCATTTGTTGCCCATTGTTAGCCTCTGCAGACACTGATCTGAGGAGGTTTTGCGAAGGTAGAAGGTATTTGTGGGCGGTTTTATGAAATAGCCTTTCACCTGAGGGCCTTCCTGCCCTGGGACTCAGGCTCCATTCCCCTTCCCTTCCCCCATACAACTGACCAAATGCACCTGTCAATCATGACCGCAGATGAGGGCATTTATCTCAGGCATCAGACTTCACCTTCTTTGAAGAATGAGTGCCTCTAAACTTTAGCATCAAGAGAGCTCCTTTATACTATCTGCGTTCTCCAGAATCCTCTTGTACTTTAGGGAGAATTAAGGCAATGTTAATGAGCTAAGTGTTTATTCAGCCCTGGAAGAAATAATGGTGAAAGACAAAAGCTGAACTCTGTTTAGATTTAGTCTGTGCGGTATAATGATTTCACTTTTTTCAGATTTCATTTCTTTCTGGCATTCATACTGACAAATGTGCATGCACGGTTTCTTAACAAGTAACCAACTCTTAACGTTTAAATCATCCATAGGGTTCTTTTTCCGGACACATGAAGGCTGCTTTACTTATCTCTGGAGTTCACTGTTATTAATGGGAAGTGGTTAGGAGATGATATAGTTGCTATTTTAAGACTGAATTTAATTTCAAGCAGGAGATATTTCAAATACAAAAGAGCATACCAAAAGATCTTTCTAATGGTTCAGCTGAGAGATTTGTAAGACTTCACTAAGAGGGAAGAAAATTGTCTTGGTGATACTGGGAAGAGACTTTTCTTAATAAAATGGACTAAAATTTTAAAACTTAAGGTCAATTTATTTGTATCTATAATAAAAAATGTTCCGGGTTGTGGGAGACCTTGACCATGCATCAGGCTTTTTCACTTCTTGAATATTTCATACTTTATAATTACTTATGTAGTGATTAATTTATTAACATTGAACAGAGCTAAACTCTCCTGGACAACTGATGTAGCACAATTCTATAGACCAGATGACACCGTGTATTTACTTAAACATCGTCCCCTTTACTTCAGTGTTGATGTCTGTATTGCTGGCATCATTTTCCCCTCTATTGACTCTATCTTCTGTGATCCTGTTCGATCGACTTATTCAGAAACAACTAGTTTCGTGTCAGATGTCTTAAAAAATATTTCCATTTAGCGACTTCTGTTACAGGCAAGCTGCCAGTCATAAGGCAAAGTAAGACTAGAAATGTGTGATCTTTCTGATTTGGGGTGTTCACCAATTGGCTATCTATTTAAAATGTGTTTGTACTTGTGTGTATGTGCATGCGTGTGCGTGTGTGTGGTGTATGGTGTGTGTCACGTATGTATGTTTTTAGATTCATTTGACCTAATGTGAAGCATGTTGATGTCTTGTTATGTTTGTTGGAACCAAAGTCAAAGTACTTTATTTCTTATGGGAACTAGAGAGAATGAGTGGGTAGAACCTTGAAGCTTGTGTCTTCTAGTGCAAGCTGGTGCAACACAGGAAACTCGAGAGCCGGGAAGATGGACCATATATTATAAAAATAAGGTCAAGTGTCTACCTCCAAAGCTGCTTGTCTTTTCATTGTTCTTGAACATTTCTAGACTTGTCAGTATTATCAAGATCCTTGCCTTTTTTTTTTTAAAAAAAGATTTTATTTATTTTTTGAGAGAGACAGAAAGAACACAAGAGGTGGGGAGAGGCAGAGGGAGAAGCAGACTCCCCACTGAGCAGGGAGCCCAATGTGGGGCTTGATCCCAGGACCCTGGGATCATGACCTGAGCCGAAGATAGACATTTAACTGACTGAGCCACCCAGGTGCCCAGATCCTTGCCTTTTGACATTTACATCCTTATATGACAGAGTTAAGAAAGACAGGAAAAAAGAAAAAGGAAAGAAAGCAGGAAGGAAGAAATAAAGAAGGACTATTAGTAAATAACACACTACTCTAGAAAGAAGCCATATTGTTGGATTAGTGAATAGTAGTGATATCATGGTAAGCATCAGCTTTAAAATTAAGTATGCCATAGTTGGAATATAGTAAGCTAGCCCAGTGGAAACCAAATACTACTCTGATTTGGTTTGCTGATGCAGTAAGATCTTAATTTACCACCCTAACAGTGGGGCAGAGTCCCATAGATAATCCAAAACAGCTGATAATTCAAATATAATGCCTACTTAGTTTTGGAATGCATGGCGTGATTCTGTTTTTGAACATCAGTGAAGGCAATTCAATAAACATTTATTAAGCATATGCTCAGGACTGAATACTGTGCTAAATTATAATTCTAGATTCTGTCATCACTTAGTGACTCAACAAATATCCACTGAGCGGTGACTTTGTGTGAGGCATTTTGCTAGATGATGGCCAGACAGCTGTGACCAAGAAGAAAGTTGTGGCTCCTGCACTCCTGGGGACTGCAGTCTAATACATTCTAACAAATTCTCAGTATCTATGACTGAGACCTAGACTGGGATAGGCATTAACTCAGACAGTCACTCCATCTACACAGTTGCTGGTGGTGGCAGACTTTATTTTAAGATTTTTTTTTAATTTATTTGAGAGAGAGAGAGAAGGGGGGAGGGGCAAAAGGAGAGAGAGAGAGAATCCCAAGCAGACTCCCTGCTGAGCCGGGAGCCCGATGCAGGGCTCAATCTCAGGACCCTGAGACCATGACCTGAGGTGAAACCAAGAGTCAGAGGCTCAACTGACTGAGCCACCCAGGTGCCCTGGTGGCAGACTTTATTTATACTACCTAGAACCATTACCAAAGGAAGGACTTACTGCAGATTGAAAAATGGGTAGTTTTTAAAGCTAGTGTGAGTCCTTTCTGAAAGAAAAAAGTAAAATTAATGTATTTATAATTCATTAACATTTTTTTGTGTGTGAGCTCTTTTTTTAAATACAGTTCAGGCACTGGGATTATAGCAATGGGCACAGCAGACAAGAATCTCTGCCCTCAAGGAGTTTGCATTTTAGTAAGAACAATAGTACCTAGTAATATATCTATAAAGTCTACAGATTTATCTCTAAAGTATTTCAAAGCTAAAATGTAAGCTCATCACTGAGCTGTTAATACATAAGAACGTAGTAAAGCAAATTCAGGAAGTTCACAGGGAAGAACTTGTCACCCAAGCAAGCCATTTTAATGCACTATCATATGTGTTCCTTGAGTTATAAAGGCAGGCAAAGTTACCGTGGGGATATGAGAGGCAAGAAAGTGCTGGTTAAAATTCAAGAGAGGACTTCTCTTTATCCCTTTTTCACTAGCTCCAGTTACAACTGCTTTAGTGGTAAGATCAAGTCGATTGATTTCTAACTATTTATAGGTGTACTAACAGTCACTAACACATTTAATGCCACATTAAATGCAAAAAGATTATTTTACACACATACGATACTTCTACCAAAATAAGAAAGATCAAAACTTCAGCTTCACACTTCTCAGGAGCACTGACTCCAGGGGCACGTGTAATTTCATTCCTACCCGATGTGGGTTTCAGGCACCTCACCTGAATTCCTGAGTATCAGATACGTCTGTTGTACACGGGGGATTATAATATCAACTTCAAAGGGTTATTGGAAAGATTAGGCAACAGAATGAATGTGACCGTGCCCAGGACAGTGAGAATCGGACACGTGGTGGGCATTTTGTTTGTTTGCTCCTGCCAAGTGGGACACAAAAGATCATCATTTCTGTGCTTAGTAATATTGATTTGATCAATTATCTAACTACCTGGCTGAATATCCAGGGTGGTGTTTCCTAAGAAATCTTTGAAAAGTCCAAAAGTGAATTCACAGAAACACATGTCTTGTCCCTCTCTGAGGAATCTCAGAAGGTGACATGACATTTACACGTGGAATGAAACTACTGGAACTTTTTTTTTTAAGATTTTATTTGTTTGTTTTAGGAGAAAGAGAGTGTGTGCGTGAGTGGGGGGAGGGGCAGATGGAGAGGAAGAGGGAGAGGGAGAGAATCTCAAGCAGACTCTGTGCTGAGCCCGACGTGGGGCTCAATCTTATGACCCTCAGATCATGATCTGAGCCAAAACCAAGAGTCTGACACTTAACCACCCAGGCGCCCCAACTACTAGACCCTTAAAGAAGAAATAAGCTGGGTTTCTGGAAGTGTGAGATAGGACACCATAAACCAGATCAGATCCAACCACCAGCTCACTGGAGGTGATATTGTCATCAGATGATAAGCTTTACACCCACCGAAGGGAGGAAGTCAGGCTCATTTTATCCAGTAACTACTACAGACACAGGACTAAGGATGGAGGGCTTTTTTTTTTTTTTAATTTTATTTTATTATGTTTTGTTAGTCAACATACATTACATCATCAGTTTTTGATGTAGTGTTCCATGATTCACACCCAGTGCTCCACAAGGATTGAGGGCTTTTCAGGGTCAAAAATGTATGTGGGAGCTGAAAATTGTTGTGCCCTGAAATACAAAAACAAATCTGCAAAAATGAAAAATACATGTTTATCAAATGCCTACAAAAGAAGACAAGTCAACTAATCAACTGCATTTATGCTGGGTATATTTTAATAGGCTTGATATATTAGGGGGTGGATCCTCCAAAAACAAAAGAGCCTGTATGAGACAAAAATCTAAAAACGAAGGCAGCTCTATTGTATCAAAAAGCAAAGGTAAGCTTTGAAATACTTGAAAGACCCTTTGAGCCTTAAGTGATGGCTTGTGTTCATATGGAATTCTGAAGATTCTGTGTGTCTATTGAAGAGATTTCGGGCTTCTTACTTCTGTGTTTTACCCCAT